ACACCGTCCTCCGGTCCAGCGGTTAATGCTGATGGTTCAATCACTGTACCATCCATTGCACCTGCTTGACAAACAACAGACAAGTAATCCAGGTCACCGAACCCGGATGTAAGTCTGCTACACGAATAACAGGGCTTTCGCCACGACTTCTCAGTACACACCGTACCAATTACCAGTACGAGTACAGTATACGGACTCCCGTCCAGCACCTGGCTCGCACTTAGGAACCGTGCCTCGCGCAACCCTCTAAGGTCACTGCGGTACACACTGCGGTTTAGCACCTGGTTCTCACTTAGGAACCTTGTCTCACGGGATTCTCTGAGAATCCACGCGGTCAACCAACACCACACAAAACCATACAAAGCGACAAACAAACGATACCACTTACCAGACGATCCAGATTCCCAGGGGTTGTTAAAATCCGGTGGGCGCCATGACATGCTATGCGGAAGTCGCACCGCGACAACCGCACTAGATGACCAAACCTACTCAATCGGTAGAGTGGGAATATGCTCTGGACTCCGTAAGTGGTACTACTGCTTACTTCCGCTAGGTACGAGCGGATTGCTGTGCCTAACGAAAGTTACCGAAACCAAAACACTCAGGAACTTCCCAAATGTTTAATCACCAAACCGAACGAACGAACAAACAGAACAGAACAGAACGAGATATGAACTTCCTTCTAACCTAGAGTCACACGACCTTTCAGCTAGAAACAAGCTCACAGATTTAGTTGAAGTTAGAAACTTCAGACTCATCAGTTAAACCAGAATCGTGGATCCAATTAGCGATCAAATGCGTTAGATAAGAACAGCACATCGTACGTAACGGAACAGACAACACGTACGTCGTAACACGTACGTACGTAATACGCGCAATCTATGCATAGCGCGTTAGTATAAACAACGTTTTAGAAGGCGGAGCCGCAGGCGACGCCGAGATGCGGCGCGAGCGGAGCTCGCGGAGCAGCAATATGAGCTAGAAGCGACACAGTGGGCCATGCGTAACAGTATCCGGTGTGAAATGGGAAAACGTGTAATAAATTAAAGGGGAATGAGCTAAATCTTAAAATGTCGAATCAGTATATTGTTGTTATCTCTGCTTAACAACGTGCCACGTGATAATGCTCAAAGTGTTTTGGAACGGTTCCGTCTTATGTTAAAGGGAAGGGCTTTTAATTTAAATCACCTGAACTGAACGCAAGATGTTGTTAAACATACAGGTTATTGTTATCGGACAGGCTGAAATTAAGAAAGCGCATACCGAGGAAGTAATTAAAAAATATGGTGGCCAAGATTATTAACAGTTCAGCGGAATTATTTAGAAGACTGATAGGCGAAAAAACCCAAAGGATTTTTTATAATACAAAAACGGCAAATTTTTTTACGTCCGTGAAGGTTATTTTTGCAATTAATTCATTCATGAAGGTTATTTCTGCATGCAGCAAACGGGAAAATGTTTATACGAAATGACCAGAATAAAAATTTTTGTTATCGGCCGTAAAACTGATCTACAACAGACAGGTAGCACCTGAATATTTTGTAAGTACTCTGTGTACCTGTTTCTAATTTCAATAATACTTAAGTGCGAGCGAACGGTAGAATGGACGAGAAAAGTAGGTAGATGAGACGCGACCGCAGATTTTTACTTATTTTTGTCATCCACTGTACTCTATCGTAGAATATAATAACGATGATATTGCATTTAACGTTAACACATCGCTGATTAAATTATTCCGCGCAGTTTGCGCGGGGTCTACTAGTACAGTGAAAATCTCAACTGCTCGGCAAATACTGTTGCAATGGTGGCGTTTACCGGCCAGGTTTGGCCTTGGCTTGTTTACTGTGACCGTGTAATGCACTCAAGGAAATTGCAGCAAGTGATGCAGTGCGCCTTTGTCACTTACAGTAATCGCATGCTTTTTTTGGATCTGTCAGAAAATTTTGAATTCAGAAAATTTCTGCAAAAGGCAATATTCATGTTCGCAATGTTCGCAGCACAAGAATTGCTCAGCAGATAACCGATGAATAAAATTCTGCTCTACCAAAACCATCTGTTATTGCCGTGGACAGCGTATTAAACTATTCCTAAACAAACTTAAAATAATCTGTTTCCATAGTATTATATAGTTTTCTATCTGTAAAACTGCATTAGCAACTACTGAACCATTGAAACCGCGCTGGGGACGTTACAGCTGTTACAGCTTTTTGCTTTCGAATTTAAAAACTGCATTCGAAGTGTAACGGATAAAATTGGTAATCCTAATTAATTTCACAACTATAGTAAGCGGAAAAGTTAATTTTTGTCCTGTAATGTCTTCTATAAATAAACATTGGAAAAACATCGAATTCTGTTAAAAGCACCGAAACACATTGCTTGTATATATAGCTGTATTCTGCACAGAGTAGACCGGTGTAAATGCACCTTTCGGACATTTAAATCAACGGGAGACCTTTGACATTTTGCACTTACATACATATGCAGTACTGCACACCAGACTTGGCCCATTTTCGCTTTTCCCACTTTCATCCCACCCCCACCTTCACAGTTTAATTCCCAGCCCAGCCCACCTCCGGCTACTCAAATTTTCAGCCCATCTCACCTTTTCGATCTCATCTTCATCCCCATTTTTTACAGGCTCAACGCCGCTACTTGTGCAAGTTTTCTGCACACGACAGAATTGCCGGGCAAAAAAAATTTCGGTTTTTAAAAGAATATGCTCACTTATTGAAAATCCGCGCGGAGCGCGAAAAATTTTTTGTTTTTGGAGCTCGAATGGTGCATTTTTACATGCTTCAAGCGTGGAAAACAGATCAAAATATCAAAAATTTTTATTTTTATTTGTTTTCTTGGTCCCATCCCATCTTTCAACAATCCCAGCCCATCTCACCTCATCTGCGCCTCTTTCCCACCTCATCCCCATTTTCACCTAAAAGATGAGATGGGCTGGGAAAAATGGGGAAAATTTTCACCTCACCCAAAAGATGGGCCAAGTCTGCTGCACACACTGTATTTCAAGCCCCTAGGATTGTGAAGTGAGGAATCAGGACGGCGGCCCATCGTCCATCGGGGAAGGAACTAGTCCAAAATGACTCCAACTTATAGCGTACTGCTGAAATCGGGCATGTACAGTAAAACTTTCTAGTTATTTATAACTGCCGGCGACAGGTCAGGGCAATTTTTAGCCTCGTACTCCAGGATCCGTCACCCTGGACCGTCTCCACATGTATAATGACGTAAGGGAATGTTTACTATGGGAAGACCAAAGGACAAATTAATGTGTCTGGCATGGGATGTCACGTGTGTTGATACGGTCGCCGCTTCTCACATCAAGACTACATCGGCAAACGCCGGATCGGCCGCCGTTCAGGCAGAGGAAAAGAAGACCAATTTATACTTTGTACTCTTATTTGGTTGGTCGTTACATTTTCGCGCCCATCGCTTTTGAGACAATGGGCCCGTGGGGACCGTCAGCCATTGCCATCATCAAAGAATGTTGAAAGCGTTTACGGACCCATTCAGGAGAAGTCCGTTCTCACGAATTTTTTCGGCAGCGACTTTCTTTTGAGATACAACGCGGCAACGCCGCCTCTGTTCTGGGTACCGCAGAGAGAGCGGAAATGTTTAATGAGCTCTTGTTTATTTAGCTGTTTCTTAAACCGTGTACTCTTTGGTTTGAAATAAAAATTATTGAAGGAAAAAAAAGTGACAAGTATTCAAGATCTATAGACTAGGATTCCTGATTTTTGGATGGGCAATCCATTTAAGTGATGGGTTTCACACAATTTGCATACTTCCACTATAAAGCATAATGGCATAAAACGACGACATGAACATAATGGCATAAAATTTTCTGGTTAGCATACTCCATGGTACGTAACTTTATTCTTTATTTAAAATAAATAAATAACTGTTTCGTTAGTATTTTATTTTCAAGTAATCGTAAGTATAAATAAGCCCTATCCGGCATTGGTAATATACAATTAGGTCATGGGATGTTGCGGTAGATTAGGAATCCAAATACTGAGCAGGCAAAAGACTGTCGTAATTACTAACATTTCTACGTACATAAGTGAACTAGAGTAGTATTCGGATGAATCCGAAACAAATTTAGGGAAACACCAGCGTATACTCATCTGCAAATATTTGCAACAGATGAACAGATATATCTGTACGAGGCGTGTGTCCCTTACTTAGATAGAGCACATTTACCTTACCATACTTAGATAACTGTGCCCGTGTTGTGCACTCAATTTGCAGCGCTGTCAACCACCCAGAGATGGCAACGCTAGGGCGAATTTCAAAAATGTGTTGATTCAGCCGTTGATAACTTCAGGTGCTCACATCTCGTGAATGTGGGAACAAAACTGTTCAAGCAATATCTCAAAAGATGTGGAAAAAATTCACAAGTTTTTTGATACCAAGTAAGTCAGGATTTAGAGCGACTGAAATAAATCAGAGGCATTTCTGTTCCCCATAGACTTAGCATAGTAAGTATTACGTTGAAAGGGTCCACGAAGAGATCCTATAGTGTGTCTACGAGAAACTCAAAAAGGCTACAACTTGTTTCAGTTGCTCTAGATCCTATATTACTTGGTATCAAAAATCTTGTTAATTTTTTCTGCATCTTTTGAGATATTGCTTGAACAGTTTTGTTCCCACATTCACGAGATGTGAGCAATTGAAGTTATCAACGGCTGATTCAACAGATTTTTCAAATTCTCCCTGACGTTGCCATCTTTGGGTGGTTGACAGCGCTGCACAACACGGGCACAGTTATCTTAGTATGGTAAGGTAAATGTGCTCTATCTAAGCAAGGGACACACGCCTCGTATTGTACACAGAAAACAGGCAGCCATTTCCAGGTGGATTATGGAATGTACGACGAACATATCAAGCCAAAATGTTGCAAGTGGCAGTTTTATCGCACAATCGACGGGACTATGTACACGGCGATCATGCACAAGGTGTGCCTCGCTCAAACCATCTATGTATCGGCCGTAAAAACCATAAATTGCCGCTGTTGAACCTTTAGTCCATCGGTTTCTACGCGCTGCACTCATCAGCTAATCTGTTCATAACCTTTTGCAAGTCAGGAAATAATAAAATGATGTTTGCCGGTGTTATTGCGGGATTGCTGGCCGTTGCCGGGTACGGTGCCGCCAATCCAGTGGCGCTGGGCACCTGCGATCCCAGCGCTTTCATGCCTTGCGCGATGCCTTTCCTGACGTACGCCATGGGACCGGAAGGTCAGGAGCTGGCCAAGCTCAAAGGAGGAGTGGATGTTACGGAACAGCAGCTGAAAAGTCTGTGCAGGTATATCCTGACCCGCTTTCCGTGCGCATTTAATTTACTTTAGACATTATGGATAGCTTCTTGCCCAGTGCAATTTCTAGAAACGAAATCAAGCCCGTTCGGGGCACGAAACATGCTGGCCTATCCGGAACATTTTCTGTTCCAGGACAATGGCATTTCCGGGCCAACCTATTGTGGGCCAGATCTGGTTCAGTTTCGTGGGAAGAACTTGCCCAGAGTGGTGCTGAAATATTCTGGCCCAAAAAATCATAGTTCTGGCCCACAAATAAAGTTTTCTTTATCTGGATATTTTAATTCAGGTAGCGAACAAAATCTAGCGATGTCAGCTACAAAATTCCTGTTGATTCAGAAGCCATGATAACTGACCGGCAGTATGTACATGTATGCAATGTACATATTGTATTACGTACGTAAAATGTCGTATATCCGGTCCGAATAGAGCCTAGTAATAATAAGTAATAATAATATTATTACTTATTATTGCGGAGCTCTATTATGAATTATTATTACATTATAATAAAATATAATAATAATTCATAACTGCTTTAAACTGACACAACGCGCTGCAGTCACTGCATATAATAATATCTATATTATATTATTTGAAAGGAATTTATGAGCATTGTTCTATAAATCCAAAGTTGAAAACTACTACTACATCAACAAAATTAATCATGCAGGTAATTAAAGAAATATTATTGTAAATTGTAATACAATTTACTGAAACAATTTGCTGGACCATTTGGAAACTGCCAGCCGGGGTAGTTCGCTTTTCCCGCGCTTGGAGGCGGTACTGCCGTTGCTCTAGATGCACCATACTGTACTTATTGCACATCACTGTCAAAGACTTATAAGTACTGACATTGTTGGCTTCTGGCTATTGCAAACTTTTAAACAATAAACAGCTCTTCTTCTACTTTGATTTTATTTTGTTCATGTTCTACTTAATTGTTGTAATCACGAAGGCATTTTTGTGCATTTCAAACTTGTAACGACTGCTTCTGGGAATTTGTTAAGAGCGCTGTCTTGACGCTGTAATTTCGTGCAGTTCAGCCTTTACTGTTCCAACGGTTCGTGTAGTTTGCCAGCTCTCGACTTGCGTCGGTTCTCTGATCGTCAAAAACCTCTTTTCCACTGAGAAACCGCCTTGTCGAAACCTTCTACGGCTTAGGATCAAGCAGAAATGTTCCGAAAGATGTGGAAATTAATACAAATTAGAACAGGATGATCCCGTGCAGGTGCGTGCGTAGCGTTAAAAGTACTTTGAATACGGTAATATTATCAGTATATGCAAACAGCAGAAATACGCGCATAGTTTATTTGCACTGGGAAACTATTTATACTAAATACTGATGGGAACTATTTATACTAAATTTATACTGATGGGACACGTAACTACAACGCGTACTTAACTACGTACTGCTGTTGTTTTATTTTTTAATTAATTATTGTCGCAGCTTATTGTGGATAATTTTTTTCGCGTGTGTGAGAATTGCAATTTGTGGAAAAAGTCCTATTTGTTTGTAGTCCATTTTTGTTATTTTCAAACTGCAATAAATTATTGATTTTAAGTGTTAAAATGATTATTTTATTGACTAATGAGTGGATTAATAAGTATAATAATTGCAGGATTTTTCTCAGAAATTCCCCATTTCCCGATGAACATTATTCAAGAACGCCTGCCCACAGCCAGCACGCGCATGAACCCATTGAAGCTGCCGAATATTTCCAACAAGAAGTTGCGAGAAAAACTGTATGCCATCGGGTCGGAGGCGCCTTCGAAGAGAGCTGATGCGAATGTTAATTACGAAATTATTGAGCCGAAATACTGAGAAATGATTGTACACATATATACGCTGTGCATCTTGTTTTTACATGTTTATGACGTGCTTAACGCAGCCCTGTGATCAGTGCATGTGATGCGCTACATGATCATTATGTTATATAAATGTTAATAAAGCATACTAATTGTATATCACTGAATAATAAAGCTAAGTCGTGTTAAGGCGTTGGTTTAAGTAAATATAAAATAAAAAAGCTACTGCAAACCAAAGTCAGTTAATGTATGGACTGGGCCTGAATGCTGTTACATATCGTGTTTAGATAGGCCCAGGCGGAACCAGAACTTGCTCAGAGTGGGTCTACAAATAGGCCTTCCGCCCGTATGCCGGTAGGCCTGAGCTCTCTGGCCCGCACAATGGCACCTCGGACTTGGTTTCTGGTCCCGAACAGGGTAGTTTGACAGGCCCAAACAACCCCTGTTCGGGTTTCAGATTAGCACTGGGTGGCGGGAATAAAGCTTTAGATTTTCCGGCATATTACATTAATTTTTATTAATTAACTAATTATTTGAGCCTACCAAGGATGATAAAATGTAAGCGTATTTTAAAAAAATTGCGACGCTCTTGCCGACGGAATAATTATAGCGAAATGAGAAAGAGATAAGATAAGTGAAACGAAAAAAGGAAAACAGCGACAATAATGCGTTACTATGGAAGTACTTGTTTATATACCGTATTTATTTTGTTTATTTCGCAGACTCACCAAAGAAACCTTAACCTGTGCAAAAACCGCCCTCGGTCAGTGCGTGCCGCGTGATGTTACCGATTTTCACGAGTTCGCTGCCACGGTGGTACGACTGATGGATGTCTGTGACCGTCCGGATCTTTACAGCAAATTTAACACCTTGATGCAGTGCGGCAAGACGCTCAACCAGACCGATGGCTCCAAAGCACGCGCTTGCGGCAATCGATCGTTCCGCCTGGGTATGGAGCAAGCTAAGGCATCCGGACAGAGCGGAGATATGTTGGCTGGATGGCGCAACGGGGAAATCCTGAAGCAAATGTGCTGGTGCGTAAACGAAGGATTTCTACTCAAACCTGATACAACAAAAACATCAATAACTAAATAATTAGATACCGACGAAAAATTAAATCGAACATTTGAAAAATTAATTCTGTGCTGCCAGTCGCTAAATATACGAAAAACAACATACAGCAAATCATTTTGAAAGGTTACGCCATTCGTGACATTCAAAAACTAAAATTGTTACTGTACGTGTTTTTGCTATTGCAGTTCAATCAAATCTCACAAAACCTGCAGTGGAACGGAAGTTGCCGACAAATGCGGACGTGAAGCCCAACAAATTGCCGATGATATCACCCTTGCCGTCGAGGAGGCCTTCAAATGCAACGGCCCCCGTGGACAAAATTGCCCGGCCCTGCCGCCGCCCACCGCGGAAGACGACAAGCAGATTGACGTATCCAGTATGACCAACATGCTCTCCATGCCGGGTATGGGCATGGGCGGACCCGGTGGTTTCGGTCCCGGTGGGCCACCCATGTAATCGGCGCATATAACATCCCGGCAAATACTGTTCTAATGGCGGCGCTTGGTAATACTGTAGCGTACTAAAGAAAATTGTAACACGTGATGCAGTGCGCCTTTGTCGCTACAATAGTACGTTTTCTTCGGATCTGTCAAAAATTTTAATGGCAACAAACGATATATCAGAATTTTCTATATAAGATCATTGATGTTCACAATGTTTGCAGCACAAGAATTGCTCAGCAGATACCCGGTGAAGAAATAAAATTCTGCTCTACTAGAACTGGTGTCGTAGGCAGCGCATTAAGCATTTCCTTAAGAAACTTAAAATACTCTCTTTCCATGATTTGATGTAGCTCTGCCAGCTGTAAAACTTCAACAGTTACTTCCAATCAGTATATCATTACTGCGCGCAAAAGTTTATGTAGGAGATTTTATCAATGCTATCTCTGTTAGCGATCTGATCGTTGTTGACCTTTACAAAGTTAGATTTAGGTTCAGAGAATAGCGTACGTTTCCGCATGGTCATCCAGACATTAAATCGCAGTTTCCCCGTGGTTAACAGTGCATTGTTGCTGTTTTTTATCTTAGGGTAGTACAACTCAAAAGAAGGTAACTGTTTAGCAAGCGTGTTACACGCTCGCTACATAAGAACGTCTTGCACACAGCAGAGCCTAGAGCGGCGACACCCGCTTTGCATTAAATTTATTAGCCACTCTTATGTCTTTGGATTCTTTAATTCACGTTCAATTTTCTTTCACTGGTTGTGGTGAAGGCAACGGAGATGTATTTTGGGCGTTCTGGGATGCCGGTTTTGTGGGAAACGGTGGGTGCAGGCAAATCCCATGTGCTCAGACTTTCTGTCTAGCAGCCCCGAATGCCCGCGTCCGGGTGTTCGGCAGCTGGTTAGCAAACCGATCACTTGCGAGCCGAAACTCCGCTTTACGTGCGTACAAGTACCGAGTCGGATGCCCAAGCATCCGCGCATAGTCTGGGGGCGCGGCTCCGGGAAAAACCATGCAAACTTGAACTACGATGAAATTATTACTATTCTGGATGAGTTTAGGATGCAGCCTTAGCTGTATTGAATTCGAATAACTACGAGAATTTGTGCATGAGTTATATAATTTCCGATCATACGACAGGACTACGGGCCTGTTGCTAAGGCAATGGGCGCCGGTGCATTTCATAAACAAACAAGTACTGTATGCTATGAACACTGTCACCACATAAATATGTATTTTGCTAATTACTGCGGACGCGAGCTCATGGAGCACAATGCGTATTGCGTGTACACCCTATTAATACCATTTATATGGAAAGACAGTTTTATATGTTTCGGATGAGTGATTCACAAAAAAACGCATATGATACACAGGTCTGCATGTCGGTTCATGCAAATCGCTTTCAGCGCTGACTGATAACGCCTTGGCAGTTATAACTTTATCTCGTTTCGCACGAGTATTGTCGTGGTTTGGCAAATTTTGTACGAAATTACAAAGACTGACATCAGATGCCAAGCACCTATCGGCAGCTACCTTATACACATACTAGTAATCCTGTATTTTATCGGCAAAAGCTCAGTTGCATACACTTTGTATATTTTTATATACTTTATGTATTTTTGTTATGTTTTACATTAAATATTTTTTCCTTTTTTTAATTTTTAAAAAGGGATACACGCTCATGCATTGTCATTTTGAAAAACTGTGAAAATAAGGTGATCAGCCGCTGCACTTTCCAGTCACCCACTTTGCGCGTTTTTTGCTTGCGCACCTATGTACGGTATAATAACTGTAATTTATAATGCGTAACGGGACTTTCGACCGCATTACTATAGAACGCTATTATAATATTGAGAAACCTCCACAAAATACGAGTAGTATACACGGAAAAACCTCTATGAATCTTGATGTACAAGTACCTTAAAAGATAGGTTTTTCTTCATTTTTTGTTCTTCATTTTTAATCTTAATTGGTTATCAAATCTGCCTCTGATCAATAATTATGTATGAGACGCAGTATGCATCATTATGCATCAGCATATACGTACTTATATAATTACTTACATGTATATAATAATTATATGGGTACCACTTCCGCACTTCCGCGCTTCGTATAAACATCTAAAATACTTCTTATAATATCACTTTATAAATACTTCACTTCACAAATCTGGAGAGAGATCAACGCAGACTACAGAGAGTACGCACAATAATAATAGAGATAGTATGACCTATGGACTTCTGAATTTTGGGAGCAGCTAAAAAATGAATAGACACTATGAATGAAAGTCGGCATGTGTAATTTTTCACATGCGCCATGAAATACTAACCGATTACGTTGATTACTTAAAAACATTAAAAACATAATCGCCTTGTGCCTGTAAATTAAACCGATTCCTAATCACGGTAAGCACAAAACCGAAACGGTCCGCTTTTTTCCATAGTACTTACTGCTAAATTTTAAAATAACGGCTCTTATGATCTTGTGATAGATGCAGCAATAAATTATTTCAAAAGCCAAAATACCTGGTATACCGGCGGTAAAGTTAAACTGATCTAACTAAATTCAGCTCGATACACATACTCACACAACATATGTACCTATATTATCGCTATATGCAATTGCATACTTATACTATATGTATACTTACGGCACGGTTATACAATATAATCTGTGTACCGTGCATACACAGATTATTACACAGATTATTTTGTACACAGATTATTCTGTACCGTGCTTACGGTATATAACGAACACCGCGGAAGTACTGTAAAACGTTTTTCATTATTTTCATTTTTCCTGTTTCCGTTCATTAATCATATGATTAATTAACAGAAGACATTAAGCAGTTAATAGTTGAACTCCCATAGCAGACGCGCACGGACGCGTCCGTGATAATATTACTGGTATCAAAAAAGTCTCTTATCACAAATTATCAAGATTTCACACGGAGTCGCGTCGCAACGGCTGAATGCGCCATATGTACAGTTTCATTGCGCGCGGCAAAAGTTGTCAGCGCGATGCAAAGTTGCAAACTCAAAACTAGAAATTTCAGTCGATCGCAAGCTTCATACCGCACTGCACCACTGAATCTTTGATTTCACTGGTCTTACATTTCCAAATAAATAATTATCACACGCTGCTCATATGGATCTATTTAATTTGGGATAACAACCGGGGGCATCAGGCTGTGTCACTGCGTCTTTTAGGCAAAGATTTTGAAATCGTTTGAACAGTGCAGCCGCATTTTATTACGAATTGATGCTTATTTCTTTGCTTTGGAAAGCAGCGAATTGTTGCACAGTTATTGTGCGAATTGCACCGTTATGAATCTCTAAGTGCTTCCCAATCGAACCACACGTTTTATTTTAATCAAGGGAAATTGGAGTGGATGGTTTGTACAAACCATCCACACAGAAACCGGCAGCTGTCCGGAGAACGCAGTGAGCAAAAATTTTGTTTCCAGGAAAGGATGAACATATTTTGCCCAAAATTAACTAAATGTTCGTTGCCGGGAATAATTAAATGGTCGTTGCCGGTGTCATTTCTGTATCAGTCGAAAACTATTCCAACATTTATACATACACCACAACTACTGAATTAAATCGCCCTGCTGATTAATAAAGAAAAGCGCCCATACAAAGAATCCGCACAAGCTCAAAAAAGTTAATAGTATGGTACCACAGAATACAATCAATACGCATAATAAAATATTTAGAAAACAGCCGCAACGATGGGGGGCGGGAGGGCACAATTTGTACCGACAAAATTGTTCTGTTATGTCGGCTTGCGACAAAATACTTCCAGGACAAATTTTGTCTTTTTCGAGACAAAAAAACACTGATTTAAGGGTGATTGTGATCCATACGTTTCCCGTCTAAGTAAACGTCTAAATGAATGTACCGATATTACTATGACTCGTATGTTTATTATTGATGGGGACAGTTAATATTAAGTACAATACTAATATTATTACGAAGCCGCTCATCTGCTGCACATGTGTATACAATACAGTGACATACGCACATGCATTCATGCAGGTCGACTTTGGAATAAATCAAATCAAACCGATCGAAACAGAAATTTTGCGATCGACATTTTTTATCGCATACCGGCAGCATAAAAACATTGTTCGCTTTAACTTAAACCAGCATCTACCACACTGGACTGCTCTGCCATTCTGTAGTTGATCTTTTCCCGCCCCCAGACAACAAGATGAAATTTATTGTGGTGACGTTGCTGGCCGTTGCCGGGTACGGTGCCGCCAATCCACTTGGGATCAGGTCCTGCGATCTCTCTTTTATCCCCTGCACGACGCCTATGATCATGTTTATTATGGGACCGGAAGGTCAACAATTGGCCCAACTCAAAGACGGACTGGGTATCACGGAGCAGCATTTGAAAAGCATCTGCAGGTGCCATGAATTAACCGCTGCTGTTTCTTCAACTTTTCCTTCAAGCTCGATTCAGATTTTATTTCTTGTTTTTGCTGATTCAGTCTTCCATTTGTTTTGCTGATTTGATTATTCTAACCCATTTACGACAGTTTTTTTTTAAATACACGCGCCTTTATATATATTCTGAAATCAGCGTTTGAACTGGGTTCACAGGGTTTTTGTTCCGTTTAGAAAGCTTTAAAAATTAGAAGCACTTGCTGAAGTAGGTATTCTACTTGGTCATGGACGTACACGTATGTACGCAAACGTAGTTCTTATCTGTGCTTATCTTTTCCCAGAGTCGGTAAGGAAATGCTGACCTGTGCCAACACCGCCATCGGCGAATGTGTGCCGCGTGATGCCCTCGATGTACACGAGCTTGGTGTGGCTCTGGTGAAACTGATGGAAGTATGCGACCGTCCGGATCTGTACAATAAAACCCGCACTTTAATGCAGTGCGGCAAGACGCTCAACCAGACCGGTGGCTCGAAAACCCGCGCTTGCGGCAACCGCGCCGTTCGCTTGTACAACGAACAAGCGAGGACGACCCCGCAGAGCGGGGATGGGCTGGCCGAGTGGCGCAACGGAACGATCATGAAGGACATATGCTGGTACGCAGATTTTAACAAATTCCCGTCTTTCCATAAAACTATAAAATACAAAATCAGAAACTACAGGGAACATTAGAAGTCGTACTAAAATGATTATATCTACACAAATGTGTAGATCTAATAATAAAGCAATAATCTAATAATAATCTAATAATAAAACAAATGAAAGATGATATATTTAATAATAAAGAAAAGGATGTACAAGTATCTATCATCTGTATAGAGTTATAGATCCCGCTAGCAGCCGTACAGAGTATTAAAAAGAATATATAATATAGATATACGTGTACATGAATGTGGATTAAAAAATAAATGGACGAGGATACTAGTGTTGTGCTACTAAATAAAATTAAATAACGGCCATTTACTTAGTAAAAGTCCGCCTAATATTAAAAGTCTAGTAAATAGTAAGGTTTTGGAAACAACGTAAGTAAAAGTAAGTAAATGTGCAGACGGAATAGTAAAAAGTAAGTAAATATTAAGGTTCAGCGTTGAATAAATAAAAATCATTTACTAAATTATTTACTAAATCGTTTTATCAACGTTACGGAAAATCGGCGTGTCCGCCGCCGCCACTCGCAGGTAAAGTGAGTGTGCGCAGTAGTCGGCTGCCAGCCTGCCGCCCTCCAAAGCAGCAGTATTTATTTTTCAGTATGCACCTGTATAGCTCGATTAATGCATAAGAAATTTATTTGCACTATTTTCAGTAGTCTGTTGCGCTTTGAAACTAACGCAATTCGAAACTTTCAATGCTAAATTACATTTATTTAGTAAATTTACTTTAATTTAGTAAGTAAATGTCCTTGGGAAAATTGAAATAAAAAGTAAAAGTAAGTAAAAGTCCCGAAAAATTTTGAATAGTAAGTAAAAATAAGTAAACTTTCAAAAGCCGATAGTAAAAATAAGTATATTGGCAAGGACTTTTACTACCCAACACTAGAGGATACATGGCTAGAAAAAGATATACAGAAATAATTAAATAAGAATATATAGAAAAAAGTCGTCAATAGTGAAATTTGCCAGCATCATTTTATATAATTATGATTTGTTGTACTGCAGTAACATTAAATCCACCAAAGCTTGTAGTGGAACGGAAGTGGTTGACAAGTGTGGACGTGAAGCCCAGCAGATTGTGGACGATGTCCTTGATGCCGTAGTGGAGGCATTGAAGTGCAACGGTCCGCGCGGTGAGAACTGTCCAGTTCTGGCGCCGCCAACAGCGGAGGATGAAGCGCTGGATGTGAAAAATATGGTCCATGTATTTCCCATACCGGGTACTGGCGGACCCGGTGGACCCATGTAACGCGCTTCGCCCACAAACATCGACAGGACGTTTAACCTGTATCTGTAATGTTGCTATAAACATTCCAACTTGTGTAAAATATGCTTCAGTTGGAAGATTTCACCAATGCGATACAACCCGCTTTATACCCATGTTGTTTTATAAAACGCTGATAATACAGAGTATTTTGTAGCTTTGCCCGGATCTGTCTAGTGAAAATGAATAATTTTTGAAAGTTTTGCAGTATACGGCAGTTCCTTGTACAGTACCTTAACTTTATTTGCAGCACTAAAATCGTTCCGGTAGTGGTCGGTGCGGTACCATTGTATTAAAATGTCGCCGACAGAGCACCGAAATTCGGTTCTGTACAAAACATTTTAATCTCAACATACAACAGTTTAAGATATTTCACATTTCCATTTCTATTTCACAGGAGTGGCTAAAAAATTGCCAGGATTACTAACCTATTAAACGTTTTATTACTGCAAGGCAGTTTCAATAAACTGAATAAAGTAATTGACTTCACATCGATTATATATTTATATCTAGGCAGCCTGTGCTAAAAACAACCGTAGATTTAATTGTCGATAAGCTTTAAACTAGGCCAGTAAAAAGAACTGCGGTTGAACGCTTCCGTATGACGATATAAAAAACAGTCAGCGTCAAATGGGAAGTAGCAAGGTGTCGGGAATGCCTGGGCTCTCGACGAATCCAAAGCGCTGCGCTGAAACCAGATGACAAGATCCGCCGATCTTGTTAAAGCGTAGAACTGGGTGTTTGTACGATTAGTTAAGAATAAATCAATCTCCTCTACTACGTATTAATGCAGTATGGCGAACGATCTTTTTGAATGCCCAAATAAGTAGCCTTAATGATCATTATATTGTGCATCTTGTGTGCGAGCGCGTTGATTTTGCCCACTGCCTTCTAGAAAATGAAATGCACGCAGGTGATACACGCGAGTTCCGTTTTATTGTTCCATGGTCGAAATATCGTAAGATTTCTATACAGGAGCATTGCAGATCGATGAAAGCTCCGATCTGATAACCTTTACAAAGTCAGGTTCAAAGGGCATATGTCACACACTTCCGCGATACAGACAACAATTATCGCAGCAGCGATGCATGTAGATGGTAAACAGAGATCTTGAGTACTGCGGATGAAAGCCGCATCCGTCATTCTGGAGATGGATGGAGGGACAAAACTATGCAACAGATGAACAGTCAGCAACACGTCCTTGACACGAGTAGGTGTTGAACATGGCATGAAAGACACTGGTGTCCACTGCAGCAGCATCCGCACCGCATTTATCCGTCACTTCCGTACCCATGCAATTCTTATAGTTTTGCACTTTGCTAAATAAAGCAAACAAACAAATGTTGACATGCTTGGCTGCGCAAAGCATAATACAGAGTGTTTTATTTGTTAATAAGGTAACTCAAACTGAAATAAACTGAAACTTAATTTAGAAAATTACAGTGCCACTGTTCAGAATCATAATGAAATTAATTTGAGCGTGCAAATATTTGCTAATTACCAGCAAAGGTCACGGAGCATGTTGCCGCTCTTCCACATATCCAGGGCTTTATTGGGGTCGGTGCTGAACGTGGCGGTGGCCTGCGAGCCGCCGGTCATGCCCTGGATACCGCTGGACAAATCCTCTGTGCAGCGCCGGAATTTGGTGCTGGTGGCGTTCAGCTTCTGGTTGCACTTCATCAGCACCTTGGCATTGCTGTACATGCCCGGTTTATCGCACACCGTCATCACGTTGGCGGTGCCGGCCATGAAATCGTGTATATCGGGGATGCTGCGCGGAACGCAACGGTCAATGTGGTCTTTCATGCAGCCCAGCGTGCTTTGGCCCAATCTGAAAATGGCCATCGCATTGGTATCGATTACGTTGGGCAAACGTTCGCATGGGTGCAGGTGTACAGATACGTGCATACCGCGGAGTAAATATCGCGAAAAAAATTAACACGGCGCTTACGTAATTTAATATCACTACTTTTGGAAAATAATTCGACAAAACTGCAATACGTTATAAGCGTATTAATTGTAATTACGCACAAGATATAATTATAATATGGTGGAAGTAAACAGCCAAGTAACTCAAAGCTAGTTAAGGTCAGCTAAAGCAAAATGCGATGCTTTATAAGAAAAACATCAAGTATAACCACTGTTACCTGCAAATGCCGAGTAGTTGCTGTTCATTGATCTCTCCGCCGTCCTTCAACGTGGCCAATTCCTGCCCTTCGGGACCAAGCATATAGGCAATGGCTGGCATCATACACGGCAAGACACTGCTTAAATCACAACTGGGATTAGCCCAGCTTAATCGGCACGTAGCCAGTACCAGTAATACTCCTAATTTCCACATGTTACAAAGATGAAAATTAATAATAATAATATTATATCTACCCAAGAAAACCAAACCACCAACGTGTACGATGGGATGCTTTACTATGACTGCGTTATCACCACAATTAATTCCAAAGTATACGTGGTGGCGTCGCGGTTTTAACTGCGGAAGACCAGCTGCTGAGAAATAGTACGTCTTATCAGATGGACTGCTGATCATCAGCGATGAGCATCCGATTTCTCACCAGCTTGAGGATGGGTTTCAGCTTACTAGGGCCAGGGATCAGACGAATTCAGGGCGTGGCAATACGCCGCATGCATTACGCGTAATTTTACAAGGAATCTAATTTATCAAAACAAGATTTTGTTCATTTTTATGAAAATAAGCAGAGATTGTGCATGCATAACTCTACTTGCCGTAAACGCTATAATAAAGTTTGCATAACAAAAGTTACAAAACTACAAAATTTCGCATATTTGCTGCTCCAGTTATTAAAACATCGTGCTTGGCGAATAGTTATCTGTTTATTGTACTCGTTAAGCAGCATCCTGTATCCTGCAAAAATTACTTTTAAGGCTTTTCTTATTTTTTTGTCTTCTGGGTGTCTTAGAAAATCTGGTGGATGTATCCCTACCTTCGTCAGTACGTGCTTATCTGTAGAAGCGCTTAACTCGAAATTCATTTTGACGTCACAACGTTTCAGCATAAAAAATACCGGTACGTCGGAGATCATAATTATTTGTTTTCAAGAACGTGTTTAGTAGCAGTCGATGAAAATGGCTGCCCTGGCCGGGAGAATATAATTATTTTAATCATAAGCTGTTTGTATCGGCGATTCGGCAGGATAATACCAGCAAGCCATGCCTGCAATGGTACTAGAGTAGAATTTGCCCGCTCTGAGCCGGCAGCCGCTATATCGGCGGAATCCCAGCTGATCACTGCCGCAGACAACACGATGGATCCACGGACCACCGTAATAATTATTATCGATTGCATTGAGCCCCGTAACAGCGTCAAAGTTTATCGGGTACTGTACCCTTTAGACGAAACTACACGAGTATACGCATATCTGTAAATAGTCGCTTCTAATATTTCTGTGGGTGCTCACCACATATGTACAGATAAATTTTAAATACGCTTCCCGGCTTTTTATGATGTAGTGCCGGGTTTGTACAGTTGAGCCGGCTGTGTGTGCGTTTTGTATGAGGTACGAACTAATATCAACTGTAAAACCTTCCTGGCCGTAGCACAACACGCGCTAGTAACACCACATAAACACAACGTACAGTAGGGTATCTTGTGTACGGTACGTGCATAAACATGCACTTGTAAACAGATCCCGCAGCTCACTTGCGGTTTATAAGCTTCGTCTGGATATGGATAAACCTTGATCTACGTATACCATGGTACTGTGGCACTCCAGCCGCAAAGCTACATAACACACTGTAATAAAATTTCACGCGTGTAGTAAACATCAGTTTTGAACTTACCACAGAATGAAATACACTTTCGGTTTTTGTTGTTTTACATGTACTGTACAGATACATGGACGCAAGAGGTTGTACAACGCTGCCAGCTATATCACGAGGACCTACAATAACATAATGCCACGGGCCATTTAACGGCTGCACTTACCTGACTTGGCACAATTCTCTCGGTTTTTGGGATGTCCTGAGCGGTATATTTTTATTTTCCCGATCCTGACCCTCGATATCGGAAAATGACTTGGAGCAGGGAGTTTTTATGGGGAATATGCCTTACCACCAGTAAGTACAAAGCAGCTTTATAACATATCATTATTTTTTGCGCAGAGCTTTTTGCAGTTGAAGCCTTGAAGGTATCGGTAAATAATTATGTTGGGGTTTGGGTGGTATATAAATTAAATGACTACATGGAATTTGCAGCATTCCAAATGTTTAAACGGGAATTACAGTGGTGTGCAAATATGTTGCTTGAGAACCTAATAAATGCAATTACAGAAGAGGATCAGGCTCCGCTCGCATGATGATAAGATACATAATTAAAGCAAAAACAGATCATATGTAAACTGTAATACTGGTACAGTATGTAAGACTTTTTTTAGATATATATATATGTGTATATGTAAACTTGTTCGCCTACTTTTCTATTTCGCTCCAATTTGCAGTGGTGATGGTGGTAGTTCAGTCTTTACAGCCACTTCCTCAGGAAAGCCTCGACTGGTGCGCGAACAGTAAGTAATCGTTATATCTATACTTTATACATTATATGTTTGAGTATACAATGCACATGACAATAATAATATATACTTGTATACAATGCATTCTAACATAACTGGAGGCCGCAAACTGTATTCTGTAATTCTGTAATTAGCGTCTTTTGATTGTTATTTGTGACCATAATAATATGGGTAATTTGGTAGTGAATAATATGGGTAATTTGGTAGTAGTTGGTGTAATAACCTTTAAACTGCTTTGGCATACGATATGCCATTGTGATATGTGCACTCAGGTATATGTATTGTTCTTTGATTGTCCACAACGATATTGCAGGCAATGTGACGTCCAGTACGTCGGCACCGCCATCCGTGCCCACATCTTTCCAACTGGCACCTTTTCCCACCTTCAACTGTCAACCCATGAAGCAGGAAGAGTGCGATAACATGGCCTTTCTTATGTGCGTTTTGATTGCGAACAGTTATTCAGTAGATTGAGATTAACCAGCAATCTTGTAATATAACATAATTAACATTCAACAGCCTTTTACTTACTTCCCTTGAGTCTAAAGAAATTTTCAACTGCAGAGTATGCACAGTGAGTGCAACGATCACCCAGATATTATACATAAAAATACTTGTCAGTGTCCTGTGTGTGGTAATGACCGTTAAAATTTTCATAATTGTTTTAATGAGCGCTTATTTAACCGCACATTAGATTGGTGCGTTTAAACCAAACGTTTCGGGCTGTGATTGTTCGGCTGAATTGCAGGATCCCCGAATGTGTGGGTTCGTCCGTGGTGGACCTGAATTTCAAGCACCCCAACCGCAGCCAAAGCTCGTTAATTTTCCGCAACATCAGCCTGGGCATGGCCACGGTCCGGGCGGATCGCGCAGTCCGGCTGGGCATGTACGACACCTACCTCACGATGACCAAGATGGCGGTGGCCGTGGACTACCACTTCCTCCCGGAGGGTATGTTCATCCACCAGGCTCTGGATCCCATCCGCCGCAACATTATCGAATTCACCATGTACAACTGCCACTATCGCTGTACCGGCAAAATGCCGACACTGAATTTCACCAGTCTCTTGAGCTTCACCATCGATAAATGCGACTACAGTTACCGGAAACCGCTAACGGTGCACCGCGATGATTTTGCCCAGAATCTCCGTCTGCGCTCCATCGTCTTCAGTGAATGCGTCACGATGGAGCTGGAGCCGTATACCTTCACGCACATCCCGGATCTGCGCTTACTGGCACTGGAGAAGAATTTTTTTCTCTCTTCCTGGATGGACGAAAAGGCTGCTCGCGATCAACAGTTGCGACTGCGGCATTGTGATTGCGAATACGCCTGGTTGCGGGATCTCTTCCGGGTTAATCCCGGACTGATTGCACCGAAAAGCGCCGGCCAGTTGTATGAAATGTGCCAAGCCGTTAGTCCGGCGATAACGAGAGAAGAGATCTTCATACCGATTGACTGCAAGAATCCGAAGCTTCCTCAGGACAAGAATCAAGTGGCCTGGACGGAGACGCGCATTTTCTCAAACGATGCATCCCAAAAACGGTTCCCCTCATTGTTTTTAGTTTTTGGTGTTGTTTTTTACCTGACGGTTTGACAAATGCATGCATGTTCTTATTTATGATCTTATTTGATGCAGGCCAGTCCGGGTATCCAAAGTTGCCCAGACTGTAAACATGTGCTCATTCTAAATCTCTCTGCATTTTCAATCATACAGAGTTATGATTGTTGTTGTTATTGTTATAATTACTGTCACTTCTGTGTCTTGTCAGGGCTTCCGGTTTTTGTCCTAATCTAAGCACTACTTTTATTCAAACCGTTCTTGTGCGGCATATCATCCATGCCTTTTTATCCAACATTTTGCTCTCGCCTTTTAAGATGGTGGATAAAAAGAGCAGATTGACAAATAAACAGATGAATACGTGTCTTAAGGGATTTGGCCCGGTACATAGCACCAAATTCGTGTGCATACACGGGAATATTCGCTTTCGCGCACTTCCAAACACTTTTTTGGGTTGCTTTTTGACATTGTGTAGCCAAATGATTTGTATTCATAGGCGTGAAATCCGTTTTTGCGCGCAACATCCGGTTCGGGAGTTATGGCTGTTAGAAAATTCAAAAAAGTTTAAATGCATTCAGGTGTACCAAAAGTCTCATTATGGACCGATCACTTTCAAATTTTGCAGGTAAATGCGCATAACCATGAAGATCGTTCTTACACCGATCCACTGTTCTAGCATGCTTTTAAAATTTTAAAATGAATTTCAAAAATTTTAAAATTCATTTTAAAATTCGAAAAAAATCGTGGAAGTCTGGATCCGTGTAAGAACGATCTTCATGGTTATGTGCATTTACGTGCAAAACTTGAAAGGGATCGGTCCATAATGAGACTTTTGGTACACCTGAATGCATTTAAACTTTTTGGAATTTTCTAACAGCCACAACTCCCGAACCGGATGTTGCGCGCAAAAACGGATTTCATGCCTATATATACAAATCTTTTGGCTACAAAATACAATAAAGCAATGCAAAAACGTGTTTTGGAGTGCGCGACAGCGAAAGTTCCCGTGTATGTACACGAATTTGGTGATACTGTATGTACCGGGCCAAATCCCTTAATTCTTAAATACCGATTTGCGATGTACTGAATATACAGATATTATATGCATCGTCATCTATTATATGCATTGATCTGCCGGTCGTATTACACGTCCTACAGATACATTTTCTACCGTTAACCGGTCCAGTTGCACTTTAATAGTTTAAAACTTGAAAGGTGTCGGATGCTGCTGATCCGTATCATTTTTGCCGGTCACAATTCACCTACTTCCGCTGAAGTGAAAAAGAAAATTTAACCAACCGATGATAGCTCAGTTGGCAGAGCGGGCGGCTGTAGTATATCAGATACCGCCAGGTCCTGAGTTCAATTCTCAGTCGTCGGAAAATTTTTTATTTTTTTTCCTTTTCTTTAGCGGAAAACATTGTTAGGCCATGCTGGGTATCGGTTCTCAATATTATCACGTTAAACTAACAATTGTAAGATAGTGTACAGCTAGCATCTACAAAGGTTGCAAAGAAAGTATATACCTACCACAGCACTATAGTAAGTATTAAATACGTACAGCAAAACTTCCGCATGTACAGATACATATTTTAGAATTATAGTAAAAACACATCTAGAAAAAGGTGGGAATTTTTGTAAAGAATATTCAAAGGTGCACTATGGCGCATCTGCCGCTAGGCGGCAATTGTTGGCTTTGGTCCTGATGCGCTGGGGCATTGTAGCGCAATCTTTAAGACGGTCGGCACACGTATACGCCTTATCAATCACACCAACTAATTCTCCAATCACTCGACGCGCATCCGCGGAACATACGCTATTTATCTGGCTCGCCACGGCGCATTGTTTGACCTTGTCAAACGTACTGTAAAAAAAATGAAATAAAGTTCAGTGTAGACTAGATCCGGCAAAACCGCGCACCTACCAGCACAGATGACCAAGCACATCGTTTTGCTGGAAGAACACCTGATGCTGCTGCAGTTCCATCATGGACGCATTATTACAGTGAAAGGGATCCTCAAACTCCTCATCGTCGCCGCAACTGGAACCGTTGTCTTTTTTTTCCAGTTCATTCAGGCATTCATAGGCTAGCTTCCCGTCGGCGTAAAGGCTGGAGCGGGCACAGAATTCCTTGCTAATTTGCAGGCTACCACTGAAGAATTGGTGGAAGTTGGAGCCGTTTCCGGCGGATGAGAAGCAGTTATTAATGTAGCCTTCCAAACACTGACCCGCCGTTGACGTCACCCTGTGTGTGCAATTATGAGAAATTGTTATCCCGTCTTACGGGAATTTTGCTGTATTAAAGACACGTGCTATAACTATGGAGACGAATATGATTCAAAACAAGGTTCACAGAACTTTTCTGAAATCTTAAAATGGATTTTAAATGAGAAATTCATTAAAAAGTTTGAGAAAATTTACCACAGAACCGAATTCAATAAAATAAAGCCTGACAATAAAAGTAACGTTTGGATCTGGACAAAAAAAATTTTGTTTGTACTTGTACAGAAAAATTTTACTATGAATGCAAAAAGAATATTGATCGTACTGGCAGATCATGGTGATGTCTTCCTGGGTAAACTGTGCTTCACTTCCGGTGCGGTTGCCCATGCGCTCCAGCATGGCCATTCCGATGGGGCTCATAAAGTGCGCCATGGGTGCCATCAAGCAGGCCAACATTGCAAAATCGTTACATGCCGGGTTGGGCGTGGTCTCTTCGGCACCTTGTGCGAATAACGCCGCTGACAGGATAACACACAGAACTGTGATTAGCATGGTCTCCGACTAGAGTAGTAAGGCACTTAATTAGCAAAATTTTAATTTATGTCCGCTAGAAGGGCGAGCGAAATACTTTATTTATTGTAAGCAAAATCCTTACAACAATCAGCAGTGCGGGATATAAATGACAGCTGCCATTAATTTTATTCTTTACGTACTGAGTCGAGCTTCGCAAAGCTTCGATTTGCCGGTCGTCTCACTCGATCGTCTGGCTGTAGAAATTTTGGCGCACCCTTGATGATCTGATAAATGATTATTTTGGCGTGTTTGCTGAGAATTAAGGGATATTTTACTGAGGAAACACACACAGTCAGTGTATTCTTCGTTAGCAGACTGTTGTGCAATACAATCAGATAGAAAGTGATATACACTCCTATAGTTTGCTATTATGTACTTACTATTTTAGCAAATTACTTACATTTTCTTACAAAAGCCAGAGTAGGCTGAATCGCAACGTCCATGCTTAATTTCCCAGTTTAAATAGAGTATTTATACGCAAAGTAATTGTAGTTGTAGGTCAATGGTAACTGAAGGTCCAAGAGGAACAATAGTGAACTGAATCAACGTGCACTTGACTAAACTATAACAAAAATTTATGTAATACCTGTGAACCGCAAATTTCCGGGCGCACAGAATTTTGTTTGCGCCCCAATATAATTTATGCATCAAAATAGCAAATAACAACTGCATACAAGATGTACAGATGTATTCCCACATCTGTACATCAATTTATTCCCACCTATCGCGTTCGTTGTGGTCGATACTGGAATACTAGTATGGTATTATGAAAACGTATGTTTCTGATGTAAACAATGAATTTTATCCACCGATAATTATGTAAACATAGCAATACAAAATGGCAATACTTGATGTTGGCTAGTAGGTTAGAAGAACTTTCACGCGATTCCTAATTACACATATGACATACGTAGGTGCTCTGTTACTCTTTATATGGTTAGGATCTGGCCTGCCAAAAGTAATGAGGAAGCAACTAAATTATCAACAGGAAGAACATTTCGGAAGTTAGCGTAATGTGTACACCGAATACTTGTACATGCGCTTGATCCTTGTCGGTATGTATGCCGAGCAAATGTTATACACATCCAGGTGCAAGTATTACTATGATGAAAAACCTTGTAGAAATATAAAAACTTCCAAATCAGTGTAAAGAGCAGCACGCATATTTCATTCGTAAAAAAATTGCAATCATCAACATTCGGGATTACGCTCGAAAATTCAAGATGGCATCGTGTGGATTTCTCCTCATGCTGTTGACCATTACCGGAATAGTATGTGGTAAGGAATTGTGTGTCGTTACTCTAGTTTTAACTTTAGCTCTATAATAAGATGCTTCTAATATTCTGATTTGTCAACCACTGCACTTACTCCTAGCGTTGTCTGAAGCGGCTATCACCTGCGGAATTCCTCAAATATCACCGCGATCGGATATGTCAAGAGTTAAAGGTCAGACACAGCCTTACTGCCGGGTTTAATGAAAAGAAAATACAAGCAATTTCTTTATCTTCAGGTGGCAATGATGCGGTGGCTGGCAGTTGGCCGTGGCAGGTTCGTCTCGGCGTCCGCCAGGCTAACGGCCAAGTGATGTGGAATTGCGGAGGCAGCATTTTAACCGAGAAATATGTCGTTACGGCTGCTCATTGTTTAGTCGGGTAAATATGTATTTTATGACTATATTTGAAGTATGGATCCTGGCCGAATACCCATAAAGAAAAACCGCTGCTCGGACTACAAACTGAATCTTTTTCCGTTGCTTTGAGAAGCGGTTGTATCCAAATCAAAGTTATACAACGTCAGATTTAAAATTGAGTCTTGTCAGGGTGGTTTCAAAAGTTCAGCAGTAGTCAGCGAAGTTACTCTCCCACCCGAAAACGTTGAAACTGCACTAGGAGAAGAATTAACAGGTGAAACAAATCTGAGCAATCTCAAATTTGATAACTCTTAATACATTTTGAGCAAGTATTTCACGTTATGTTCAAGCCAAATAATCGATGCAGTTGCTTGAAGTATTGTTTTCAAAACTGTTCTTTAAATGAAACTTCAAATTTGGGATAACGCACACAATATAAGGTAGAGATGCAAATGTTAAGTGAGGTAAGTGAGAACAAGTAAGTGCGGCATACTTTAAAATCAGTAGAAGTATTGTTACGATCATATTCCTTCCAGGTAGCTGAACACAAGTGCGGTCCGCATCTGAACACATGTAAAACTGGAAGGGTATCTGCTAATTTTTTTGTACAGAACAGCGGATTCAAAATTGGGATTGAGTCCGCGTAGAGGCAGACGTGAGCTCGCACAGTGCACAAACTGAATTGTAGTAGTGCTCCGTCAGGAGCACAGCGGATATGTAGTGTAAATGTGTCACTACTACCTGAAGTTTTAAAGTCAGCTGCAGCTTAGACATGAGCGTTTTGCTACTCACAACATGGTAATTAAGCGATCTGGAATCCCACGAGAGAAGTCTACATTCAAAGTACAATTTGCCTTTGCGATTTTTTTACAATATATATATATTGTACATACTACATAAAGTCAAAGATGGCCGCATAGAAATTCACAGTCAGTGTAATCACTAGTCTGGTAGTTAATGGACGAATTGAAAGTGGTGGATTTTTTCTTCTTAAATTAATATTTCTGGAGGACGGACACGTTTTATCTTACAAGCCACACAGAGTTTTTATTTCCCAAATATGTTCAACGTTAAATGCGCGATTGCAGTGGGATTAATGCCGAGTACATGATCCGTGCTGGGGATCACGACCAAACCCGCATCGAAGCGGCGCAAGTAGACCACGCCGTACTCCGCATTGGTCAGCACCCGAACTACGCCGGCCAATCGGGCAACTTCAGGAACGACATCGCCATTCTCCGGCTGGCCACCAACCTGACCTTCAAAGCCCAAATTAGTCCGGTGTGTCTGCCCATCAGCAAGAATGATATCCCGCACGGCACCACCTGCATGGTGACCGGCTGGGGCAAGTCGGGTCCCACGGGCACCAGCTACAAATCGGTACTGCAGCAGGGCCGTGTGCAAATTATCGGACGGCAGCAGTGCGCGGCGCAGTATTGGGGCAATATGGTCACGAGCAATGTGCAAGTGTGCGCCGGGACACCAGCCGGCACCGTCGATGCCTGCTCGGTATATCTTCGCTTATTTTGTTTTGTTAACGTTAACGTTGGACGCTGGTAATCATCCTGTTGCCATCCATTTGTAATTTTTAGGGCGACAGTGGCGGGCCACTGGTTTGCCAAGACCCGACTAGCCGACGCTGAATTCTCCATGGGGTTGTCAGCTTTGGACCTCTTACGGGGTAATTTCCGTTAAATTATTTAGAAATCCGTTGTAGTTTGTTATTTTATTAGGATACCGCTCTGTGTGTTGTTATTTACTTTTGGTATAATTGTATTTCAGCTGTGGAAATCCGACAAAGCCGGCAGTGTACACAAGGATCAGCGGACTGATGGACTGGATCAAGACCACAACCGGAAATACCGTTCTCCAATACTAATGCGTACCCTTTTAATAAAGCGGGCGAAACCATATGTCTTTCCGTTACAAGAAGAACTACAAAGGTTGCAGATGAGCTGCGTATCGCTTCTTTACATAGTTTGGGATGCTCGTACGTACCTACTATAACATAATTTAATGGTTCTGTGTTTGATCTCGTAAATAATTCGTAATTTGCCGCCCATAAATGTGCTGAAAAAATATTTGTGGCTTATTCAAGCACTTGGTGTGTAGATTCAGTTATTTCCGTCATTATCTCTCGCATAGTAAGAATAAATAAGAAACGAAGTCAAGCCATCGTTGCAGAGGCTAACGGCAATAATAATAAAACCATAATGCCGGTATCCTGTGAAAAATTGGTAAAAATTTACTCAGGCGCGTCTATGTTTTTCATATAATTAGCAGTTAGAACAGCAAACTGATCAACAGGATTCGCTGTGAACCTGCGGCTGCTTTATTACTGCTATACGAAAACATAACAGCGGCGTTCATTCGTTTCAGCACAACAGTATGTCAGGAGCCACAGCAGTTTTGTACAGTAAAGGAGACATTGTTTCTCACACAGGAGACCATGTGTTTCTCACACAGGAGACAGGAGACAATAATGGAGACAATGTTTCTCACAAGAAAAAATCTAAATACTGTAATATCTCCTTTGCACGACCCCACCTTCTATGGCTAGTGCGATTCACCAGGTAGCCGACAATTATTGCTTGGGGTCCTGATTCGCTGAGACATGATACTGCAGTACTTGACACGATCGGCACACATGTACCCTTTCTCCATTATCCCAAGCAGCTCCCCAGCCAACCTCCGCGCATCCACCGAACACATGCTGGCTTTGTCATCTGTCGTAGTGCCTTTCGCAGCGCACTGCTGTGCTTTATTAAACGAACTGCAAAAACCAATAATAACCACATCAACGGTGTGTTATCAAGCGCAGAAATGGATAACCACCCTTTTACCAGCACAGATGACCGAGGACATCGTTCTCCTGAAAGTACACCTGATGTTGTGGAAAATCCCATACTGACGCATTGTGGCACTGGAGGGGATTCTCTGCATTTGCATAATCATCACAACTGGATTCGTTCCCGTATCTAGCCATTACGTGCAGACATTTGGAGCCCTGATGTTCGTCGTTAAGCAGATTGGGGCGGGCGCATAGCTCAGCTAAAATCTTCCGTGATGCGCTCAAGAACTGGTGGAAGTTGGAACCGTTAACGTTTCCGGTGGGTGACAAGCAGGTTTTAATATGGTTTTCCAAACACGGACCGGCAAATGACGCCACGCTGCGGTAAGAATGTTATTACTCTTTAATTGTGCATACTCTTTCTTTTATTCTTCCCTGACAGAAAAGTTCGAAAATGAAACATCGAGTTTACGCAAAACCTTTTTGTAGCAGAACAACATATTAATCAATCGAAGTAAATTAAGGGAAGTGGCCCGGTACATGGTACCAAATTCGTGTACATGCACGAAAAATTTTACTGTCGCGCACTGATGCGCCCAAACACTTTTTTGTTTCGGTTTATGACATTCTGTAGCCAGAAGATTTGTATACAAATTTTCTAACAGCCATAACTCCCGAACCGGACGTTGCGCGTACAAACGGTTTTCACGCCGGTGTATACAAATCTTCTGGCTACAAAACGTCATAAACCGAAATGTGTCTGGGAGTGCGCGAAAGCGAAAGTTTTTGTGCATGTACACGAATTTGGTACCATGTACCAGTCCCCTTTTCTTAACTGGAAAACATTACGAAATAAAATAATTATATTCAATAATAATTGTTTTTATGTAAACAGTGTATTTAGTGCAAAGAACCCCAAGGCGTACCGACAAACTGCATTCATGTCCTGCTGGGTGAATTCACGGTATGGTAACGTATGGCCCCTAGCTCGCTCCAGTATAGCCGTCACGGCGGGGTTTCCAATGTCAGCCGCAGGTGCTCCCGTGAGGCAGGCGTCTAATGCAGAGGCACTGCATGTCTGATTATGCGCCGCTACCTTGCCGGTGTCTAGTATCAGGAAAACCGCGGAAAAGATGATGAACACCGCGGTAAGTGCCATTGACGCTGCTTTTCAAACTTTGTAAGTTGATCATATATTTTAAAGATGACTACAGATTTTAGTAGGATTTCTTCGGGAATTTAATGTGCTAATATTATAAACGATGCACCATACTTCATACAGCTGGTATGTTGTATACACCGCATAGTACAGACACTGTCGTGTGAACGTCAAGTTGCCCGCTGTTGCATAGCTGGAATTTGGCAGAACTACAAAATTATAACCGATCTGATAACGACGGCTTGCTGAGAATTAGGGAGCATTTTCACGGGGTAAACACTCAAAAAGTCAGCATATCATAATCTACCACGGTTATTCATTTTGTACCGTACAGTCAGCAATGTACAAAAGTTTTATACGAGTGTAATGCCACAGTTTTCGAGCAATCAAAAATTTGCTAAAGTGAAGACGCCATTGGATTGAAATTGCCGTACAGTCATTTTCCCCGTTTTCCTGATTGAACTCAAACATATAGAACTCAAACGTAAAAGTACATGAAATATGGATTCATTTGATGACGCAACGTGCAAAAGGAACATTAGCTTCATAAAATTTACAAGAATCCGCATTGAGAAATATGTAAGTATATTTATTTATTGGTGCGCCCTCCAAAAACCTAACTGATCTCGTCTATCAGAAAAGTGTACATACGTATTCGTTAGCGTTCACTAAAGGTCATATACTGTAGCACACGACGTGACAAACAGCAGAAAGTCGCAATTCCTGATGCGATTGAAATGGTTGTTATACAGTATGAAAAAATTACTTATTAAATCTGCGGTTGTTGAGTGGGCGAAATAATGAGAGTCTTGATGTTGACGTGCGACGGCGCTGACAGGATATATAGCACACTATCAGCAATATCCGCACACGTTAGTTTCTCGTATTCCGCGCTGAAGATAGCTACCAGATCGGGCTTGGTTGCCGCGTTGGCCAGAGCCCGCTCAAAAACTTCAGTGATAACCGCGCCGGGACTCAAATCCTACAGAAAAACACGAGCAGCGGGTAACGCGAGCCTTGTTTTCCGCATGAGCATTGACATTTCACAGTTTACGCATATTGTACCGTTATGCGGATGTTGTTTGCCGGCTTCATAGCGCGCACTTCCCGATGCAGTGATTCCGTCAGGGAAAAAAAACACAGCCTTTATTGCGACTTCCTTTCCCTATTACATAATTATAAAGTTAAGATTCGCAGGCACGCAGGCCCGTGGCGCTATTTAAATCATTTACGGTTGCGAAGATGTAACAAAATAAGTGTGTCAGGTAGACGATCGCGCTGGGGTCTATGCATAAAACCCAAAACCCACGTAAAAATAACTAACTCTTGAAAACTTTATTACTAAAGTTAATATTAAGGAAAGAAAAAATTTAATAAGGAATTGAAAAGTTTTCCTGTGGGAAAAAGGGAAAGCATAGACACTTACGCACGTAATCGCCTGTCATTGTACTCCTATAATTCGCAACCGTAATTCTATATTAATGCTATTATAGTTATATAATTAAAACAGTGCGCAATAAAGGTAAGGTGGGAGAACATCGCACCAGCCAATTATCGACATCAGAAGTGCAGTGGTACAATGTAAACAGGACAGCATCGTTTTCGACCGTGCTGAGGTCGACTGGACATGAAGGAAAGCATATCAATACGTAAACAGTTCGCTTGGGCCCGGTACTGCCCAGTTAACATTTGATTTATTCAGGAAAATTACGTAACTACAACTAAGGGCGATAGAGGCAAGCGATTCTGGCAGCTGTTTGGCTTTCACGTATTTTCCTCCAACGGCTACCGTGTTGGCGATGCGGTGCATGGCATTCACGGCTTTAGAGGGAATCATCCCTCTACTTCCGATGGCGAGGTGATGGTATTCAACTGTCCACCCTGCTACGTCCAGGTCTCTGCACAGGCGGGAGTAGCGCTCCTTCTTTCGCTTGTCGGCGTTGCTGAATCCCTGTTCAGACTCGAAGGGGACTGTAACCTCTGCTAAAATGATACGCTTCTCGGTACGGTTAATACATGTTAAATCAGGGTAAAGGGTGGTAGGGAGAATGTCGGCTGGGATGGTCGTAGAATGACGTTCGTAACTTTCGTTGTCCAAATCGCAACGAACCTCCCACTTACCATTCACAGCCGCACTGGTAAAACAGTTGAAAATAGCTTTAAGAATGCTGTTGTGTCGCCAGGTATAGCGTGCACCAGAGAGAGCGATAGGGCAACAATTAAGAATATGACAGAGAGTACCGCTTTCCCCACCACAGAGATCACACTTAGCTGAAATAGACATGCCCCACTTGCAAAGATTAGTGAAAGAAGGAGCAATGTCGAGAGCTGCCTTGACCATAAAAGAGACGGTCTTCTCTGGTAAGTTATATAGAACTGACTTCCAGAAAGTATCCACTGCCTGCGCTTCAGCTACCGCCTTCCACGCGCCCTGCTGAACTAGTGTACGTAACCTGTTATCGCGCCTCGTTGTCATTTCTGACCGGACTTTCGCACTCACTAACTTCCTAATTTTACCTTTTGATATACCGGCCTCTTTCCCAGCCTCTACAGTATTGTTAACAATGCCTATAATAGCTGTATCTGATAAACAGGATTTTTCCAAGGAATTGGATGCAATTACCGAAACAACAGTGTCAGTAGAACAAATGGCATCCGCGAGAAAGGCTGCATGAGCTTGCAAATAAATTCCTTTAACAGACTTCAGATCTAGGCCATCAGAGGAATAAAAATAGTCGCAGTTGGTAAAATCCCTCAAATCGATCCACTTTTTAATGTATTTATTGACTTTACTTTCCAATTGGTCGACAACGGACAGACTTAAGTCATGAACAGTAAGAAGAAACCGGACACAGGATGTCATATAATCTTTATAAATTTTAATTTTAAAAGTATTACGCAAATTAAGATTATCAATGCGCTGCAAAAAGTCATCAAAAATTTCACAAAGCTTACTGCCAGCAGATGTTGACTGGTGTTTTTCAAAAATCCAAGCTCCCAAAAACTTCATTGGTTCTTCTGAAATGTTTGTTATGCGTTGACCTTTAATTGAAAATTCCGATACAGTAGACACACCCTTTTTTAATGAAAAACTTCGGCATTTACTCGGCTGTAATCTCAAACCCAGTGAATTCATCCTGCTATCGACATCGTTCAACAGGCGCTGCATGGTTGATTTGTTTTTTACAATTAAAGTTAGGTCATCAGCAAAGCTAAGTGCGACTAGCTTTTTGTCCGGTAAACTATTAAAAGATATGCCATGTTTCTGGTTATTTTCAATAAATTCCAAAACAGGGTTGAAAATTAACAAAAATAGCGCGCAACTCATTGTATCGCCCTGGAACAGTCCTACGTTAAACGGGATCTCACTAGTAAAAGAATCATTATTTTGAATTTTAATAGAGAGCCCGGTATAATAGTTGTTAATATAATTAACGATTTCATTAGGGATGCCGTAGTGCTTCAACGCTGCCAGCATAACTTCTTTCCTTACCGAGCCGTATGCGTTGGCTACATCTAGCCAGGTAACATGCATCGCACGTTTTTTTGCGCGCTGCTGTTCGATCAGTTTCGTGAGTTTCAGCGAATGTTCACCACATCCGTTCATTTCTTCAATGAAGCCCTTCTGAACATCCGTATCGATTATACCGTTTTTTATGCAAAAAGTCATTAATCGCTTAGAAATAACAGAGTGGAAAATTTTGCCTACGCAGCTGGTTAATGTGATGGGGCGATAGTTTTCGACTGACTTTACATCACCCTTCTTATGTATAAGAATCGTCTTACCTGTCTGCCATGACCTACACGGCTTTCCCGATTTTAAAATTTTATTGAAAAGAAAAGCAAGGAATCTATGAATTATTGGGAAAGGTTTCAGAAAAGCATAGTTTAAGCCGTCCAGGCCAGATCCACACGAAAGTTTTTTTTCCTTTAGAATATACTCAATATCGGAAGGCTGAATATCGGACGAGTTAAAGTCCACAGTCACCGGTTTTTTGTTCAGTTTACTGAACCAAGAGCAGTCAAGGGGCGCTAACTCGGATGGATTGCAAACCTTTTTAAAATAGTCTTCGATATCACTGGTTTTAAGTGCGCTTTTCGAGGTGTTGTTACCGTGCTTAAGCTTACTGTTAATAAAACTGAACATATTACGGCGAAACCAGCTGTCGTTTTCTTTCCGCTCGGCTGATGATCGGAACTGCAAAACTTTTTCAGACAGAGATTTTTTAATTACTTTTAGTTGACTTAGGTTATTGGCATAATCGAAAGACAACTCACGGTTATTGGCCCTAAGGCGGCGCTTCTTCCGCTTGAGTTTATTAATTTCGCGAGTGACAGAAGATAGGTGAGACAGGAGTTCGGAAGGAACAGCATTACTTCGCTTTTTGTTAAAAAATTTCTGCTTAGAAGACGTACAGCGTAGAACACTTAAAGCATATTCGGCTAACCCCCAAGTAAATAATTCTGCAATGTCATGCGCAGCCCAAAGGTCATACTTGCATGCGTAGGATAACTGATTAGTGAAGTCACCAAGAAATGACTGATATCTTACCAGTGCGGAATGGGGGAGGTTATCCCACGCGGGAGGAAGAATTTTCTGACGGGAGGAGTTAGCGAGGATGACGGTGGAGAAATTAATTGATAGTTTACGGTAAACAATGTCATATAGAAACCGGGCTAGGTATGCTTCTTCATGTCCAGATTGGCAGCGTGTGAATCGGTACCAGTTCTGAACGTCCATGGTGACTGGGAGGACTGATGTCGATAATTACCAAGGGTGTTCAAATTTAAAGATGGAATACGGCAGTTTTCTTAATTGAGAACGCCAGTTAAATTCGAGAACCGCTATGCTATTACCAGGGGGCAACATGCATAGCAAAAGTCTCGACCGGCCAGCTCAAGCAGCGATCGAGAAGTGAGCAGTAACCATATGTTTCAGTAAGCAGTAACCAGTAACCAAGTGAGCAGTAACCAAGCAGTAACCATATGTTTCGTGCCCACGTAGAAATGGTAACCAGGGTAATCGACGTGACAATGGCCTCCAATACTATTTTACCAATGAAAATGTAAAACAGGCATACTGAAGTAAAATGTGTAACTGCACTTTGTAATAAAGTGAAAAATTCCAAGTCGCTACAAGCTTGAACCAAGTCAGTAATACGTAGACATTTTCAGATATGTGCTGAGAATCTAAAGTATAGTTTTTCTGACCATGCTGAACAGGTTACCTGTTGACGTTTATGATGTCACCTTCGGTAACGCCGTCTTTCTGCATGAGCTGGAGAGTCTCCCTGGCGCACACGCTAAGTCCCAGTACATTGACCTATCAAAAAAGCACAGCTTTTCTTCTAACTACCGATACATATTGTATACCGTGAATATATAAATAGAGCCTCTATGTTTACCTCAAGCATCTCACGCCATTTCTCCCTGCGCCCGGATATCAACGGATCCAGCTGCACCAGTCCGGCGTTGTTGATCAGAACATCGACATGTCCATACTTTGCTGCAATGTGCGCGAACATGGCCGTGATTTGATCAGGCTTGCTGACATCGCACTGTACCGCTTCCACATGACCGGGTCCGTTGTTATGGCTCTTCGCTAGTTCCTTTTTGTAGATCACACAAAATTAATAATTATGCCGAAGCACAGAAATACATATTAAAAGCTGTGATTTGCTTACATGGATTGTGGCAATGTTTCGAGCGCAGCCGATCACTTTCATGCCATGACGAGCCAGGGCATCGGCGATGGCGTAACCGATTCCAGCAGATGCACCCGTTACTAATGCAGTTTTGCCTTTCCAGCGTTCCATTGCACCAAAGTGATTTTTGATAACAGTTTTTTTTTAAAAATAAGTTTATAAATTTATGCCTCTGACCATTCAAGCATCACAGGGGTGTTAAAACGGTTTACAGTATCTTCGAGAATGAAAATTAAATATGTACGGTGCGCCTAATTTCTGTTAGCCCATAGTATAATATATGCGAACTATTAGCGCCCGCGGCAACTGAAGAGCAGTTGTTCGCCCAATAAAGCTGCTGAATTTTTACACAACCAGTTTCCCGTCAGAACTGCACAGCGGGAACACTTCTCAAACAGTGTCTATCGTGATGGTACCTCTTGTTGTTAACTATTTTGTACAATCAAGACCTTAATAGATTATCTTTATTCAGGCCGGTGATTTCCGCATTCACGTTGTACTTTTGCTGTAAGATACAAGGATCGCTCAATTAAAGCCGTAGAACACCATATTATACTAACGGCTCGACTTCCGGCTGTTGCTGTCACCTGCTTCACTGGGCATATAGAGTAGTTACAGAGTAATTATTATTACTCTATAGAGTTATTATACAAAATTGTGGCGCAAGCTATGATTCTAGACTTTTCGGTTTCTCATTTGCTCATTAAATTTTCTCGATGCGATTCAACCAATCAAATGGCATACCTATCGTCGACGTCGACGTAATAGTAATGCTATGTTTTACATGTTTATTTGCGAGATTCCACAAGAAGCATAGACCGTTTCAACCAGCACTGATACCATCATGATGATTCTGAGCGCAAAACTTTCTGGTTCCCCTTAGCTGGTTGTCTTGTTGTTTCATCCTTTGATAGGCGGTTTTGGGGTTGGCGGAAGGGGAGCCCGGGGAGGCCGTGTACAGGGTGGAACTGGGAACCATAATGGCATGCAGGTGAACGCATTGCGGGCTTGGGTTCCGTCAGAGTTCGCTTTCGTTGCGTTGAGAGTGTTGTTGACCGCTTCGTGGTCGAGCACCGGTGTATCCGCTGCCTTCGTAGTAGGCTGCGATGAATTTCCTGTATTATTCCCGAAAGGTACAGCTGGAAATGGAACAGCTGCTGTTGCCATCAGCAGAACCGAAATAACACACAGAGACACAAGTAACTTTCAACATGGCGCACAGGCTCTTTGGTAATGAGTAAACCGTAAATAGTGGGAAAGAGCAGCCTGGTGGCTGGTGTTGTTGTTTATATCGTTTGCTTAATGCAAAGAAATATATGCATGTCTAGGTGGTATGATCACTATAAGTAATACGAGGTACTAGTAATAACGTGCCGGTATAGATTCGTGTAACTCGCTCCTCATCGTGCAACGAAAATGCCTTCAAGTTATTCCGGGTTTTGTTGTCCACCAAGTCCACGCGTCGTCACAAGTCACACAACTGCATCTCTCTTGCGTATTTAATAATTCCGAATCGGAATTTTCTGCAAATCAAGTTTCTGTAGAAATTTAAACGAAACGATGGTGTTAACTGGTTTGTGACTTTCCGGTTAGTTTGCTTGTACATACTGTACCATATGTATGGTCACTATGCTCTGCGGATGTCTGTGCGCAAGCACACTGCATTGCATCAAAATCTTACTGTTACTGTAAGCAGAAAGCCAGCAATAACGCAGCAAGAAACCACACTTTTGGCACGGCGGCAAAGTGGCTTCGAGCTCCGATGTGGCTTCGGATCGGCCACAAACATGAGGATTAGTGCTGTACAATACTCCTATAGTACGAGTAGCTAGAGCACGACTGCACGACGTCTTCGGCCGCCAGGCCTAGATGCAAACTCATTAACCTCATGATCACTGCATAATGTACCGTAGTAAATAATCTCACGCAAATACCGCTTTGGAAGCGGTTTTTTGGGCAGTATATCGGAAGGCGAGTTGAAAGCTGGAACAAGACCGGAGCTAGACATAAATTATAACGACGTGCGCGTATGTTACCAGTATGCATTACGATCATGAAATTAATATGTCATCAAAATTACAAACCAGGGAAGCACCTAAAATGTAAAGATGGGCTACATTATACGCCGTGTTACACAGTTGTCATGCGCAAAGAAATCAGTATTTAAACGCCGGTAACAATAAACGGTAACATCAACCGTCGCTGCGTCAAAGCATGGCGCACACGCTCTGGTTGCAGAAATCGAATGAAATATGATTATACGCAAAGAAATATTTCCACAGTATTAATTTTGAAGAAACGAGAAAATGTGACTTGACCGTCAAGAGTATTATTACTAATGCCATTCATGCACTACGATATTACTGCCAGCCAGATTAACATATTAACTGAATTCGCTTTACACCTGTGGCTGCTGTGTCGGACAGACAATCAAGGTTTTTACGTTGACATGTTGCGGAGCGGCCAGAACAAACAACACCGTATCAGCGATATCGTCGCCGTTCAGGCATTTGTAGTCTTTGGTGAAGTCTTTACCAGAATCGATTGTCGGCATTCCGGCCTGGGCCATGGAACGCTGGAGGATCTCCGTCAGTACCACGCCCGGGCTAATGTCCTATTAGGTAGAAAAAAGCGGTTACGTAACATTGTCCATCGCAGCAATGCTTCGTGGTCGCGATTCTTACGGTAACCCTCATGTCGTTCTTCGGTTCCATCGCCCGCACTTCGCGGTGCAGTGATTCTGTCAGAGAAGTGATCATATGCTTCGTGCCGCTGTAGAAGTGGTAGGCGGGCAGATTAATCGGAAAATGGCCACCGTAGCTGTAGAATTAAAATAGGTAAGTTCGATAAAACTCCTTGGTTGGACACCGAAATAAACTAAAGCAATTCTCGACCCACGCACCTGTTGATATTGATGATGTTTCCATCAGTGACGCCGTCTTTCTGCATCAGTTTCAGTGCCTCCCTGGCGCAGACACTTAAACCAAGGACGTTTACCTACCACCCGACCAATTAGCACACTGCTCTACGGTGACAACATATCAAGCTCACCTCCAGCATTTCCCGCCATTTCTCTGTTCTGCCCGACATCAGCGGATCCAACTGCACCAAACCGGCATTGTTGACCAGCACATCGACATGTCCGTATTTTTTTGCAACGTGCTCGAACATCGCGGTTATTTGTTGTGGCTGGCTGACATCACACTGTACCGGTTCAACGCGGCCTGGTCCTTTTTCATGTTTCTTAACCAATTCCTGCATTCAAATCGCTCAGTATTAGTAAAAACGTGTTAGTGCCCGCTAAAGTAAAAATGCGAAGGATCGTTATACATTGATTTTTTCCACGTTTCGCGCGCATCCGATCACATTCATTCCGCTGCGTGCTAGTGCATCGGCAATGGCATACCCGATTCCCGCGGATGCACCGGTCACCAAGGCTGTTCGACCTTTCCAGCGTTCCATAATAACTAAAAGTATGAACGCTCTGTTTAAACAAGGAAGGTTTAACAAATTTAGTCCCAAGGAAACGAACTTCTTGAAAATGTTTTCCTTTAAACCCGTATACCTGCTATGTTTTTCAGGTTGAAGCGTAAAACCGCAACTACCGTCAGTCGCTCCTATAAACGCACGCATTCTTTATATCATTCCATGTTCGGTGGCCAACGAAGCGTAGAGAAATAGCTGAGTCAGATAACCGCAAGTTGTTTTGTTTGCGGAGAAAAGATTTCCACGCTCTTTCTTATGACAACCTGTTTGGCAAGCGCTTCCATTGTGTTTTTGAATACTTCGAAGTAAGCCAAGTAGTACTGTAGGATTTAATTTTCTGTTGAATATTGAGCCTAATGAATGATATGCACGCTAAGAGCACGTGAGAAGCAGGAGTGTATATCTGTAGCACCGGTAAATCGTAAACCTACATGCAAGACGACAACAACATAAACCGGTTTCCTTAAGGAAACTCACGAAACGTTTTCCGTACTGTACAATAAACATCAAAGGGGCGTTCGCCAACCACCATGAAAGAGATGTGTTTATCGTACAGAATAGGTGAGCCACTAGCCTGCGGCGTAAAATTTAAGAATAAAATCCTCACCATAGGTTCAAACTTTCATCGCATGACTAAACACTTTTGCAGTAATCCTTTAGGTACAACAGATTCTTTTTTTGCGACAGACGTCTACCGTAAAAATATACGCTTAGCGCAAATAACGATGGAGCGCTGGAAAGGCCGCACAGCACTGGTGACGGGCGCATCGTCCGGTATTGGCTACGCCATCGCCGATGCACTGGCAGGAAGCGGGATGAAAGTGGTTGGCTGCGCGCGCAACCTGGAAAAAATCCATGTACGCTGATCCAGTTGCGCATTTGCCTGTGCTGCTGTATTATAAAAAAATAGCTTGTTATAACAGGAATTAGCCAAGAAGCACGGAAAAGGACCCGGCAGCATCGAAGCGATTAAGTGTGATGTCAGCCAGCCGCAGCAGATCGCCGCCATGTTCGAGCAAATCCGTAAACAACACGGTCATGTCGATGTACTGGTTAACAACGCCGGAGTGGTGCAACTGGATTCGCTGTTGTCCGGTCGAACTGAAAAATGGCGAGAAATGTTGGAGGTTTGCATACTTCTATATCAATCAACACAATGACCAAGGAAAGTTTGTTTATGAAATTGTTCACTCTATAGATCAATGTTCTCGGTTTAAGTGTCTGCGCCAGGGAAGCTCTGAAGCTTATGCAACAAGACGGAGTTACTGATGGAAATATCATCAACATCAACAGGTCAGTCGGTTGTCTATGTGCTGTACATTTATAAAATACAAAGTATTCAAGTACAGTATTTTTAAAGAAAACAAAGTATAATTAGGTATTTGTTTAAATTCAGTTATGGTGGCCACATCCACTTGAATGCCGCCCCCTATCATTTCTACTCCGGCACTAAACATATGATCACATCTCTGACGGAATCACTGCACCGGGAAGTACGCGCCATGGAGCCGAAAAACAATATTCGCGTTACGGTAATCTAAACCACCACAAACGCCATCATTAGATACAGGAGAAACAAACGTATTTCCTGATATTATGCAGGATATCAGCCCCGGAGTTGTGGCTACGGACATCTTCCAGCGCTCCGCGGCCAGCGCCGAACACCCACCGGAAGCAGGAGGATTTGGGACGGATTTCCAGCCGTTGTCCGGCGAAGACATTGCCAACAGCGTGCTGTACATTCTGGGGGCACCGCAGCATGTCAATGTTAAGACATTTATCGTCTGTCCCACTAAGCAGCCAGCAATTTAATACGAAGGTGACCGTCCAAGTAGTCCGGACCGCATATTTGAGCGCCGGATGTTGTGGCGATTAAACCGCTTAACAAGTTTAACATGAAATTTTATCCAGAATTGGGTTCAGTCTCCGCATCCACGAAAATATAATCAAATTTACGATTACCGGATGTTTGGGCGGTTTCAGGGCCACAAGATGCGCCGTACATTTAGGACGGTGACAACTGAAACTATACAAATAACACGAAAAGCTAGGAGCTTATAGGATTTCTGAAATATTCGTCTGGTGCCAAGTGAGCTAGCAGAATCGCAATGACTGTCAAATACTGAAATACAGAGCGGAGTTAATTTAACAGTGACCTTTATAAAGCTGCGTTACGGGTACAAAATGGCGTTTGCAGCTGGACAGTTGCTGCACAATATATACATAGATATGGCCCATTTCGTACCACTCTAGAAAACCGACCCCCTTTTTTTGTTACTGTATTCCATGTATTCCTAAGTATTCCGGTTGTATTCCTACTGTATTTTCCGCTTCCGATATAATCTGATTTCAGTAGTATTCTGTGCCAATGACCATGTATTCCTACGTATTCCACCTGTATTCTGCCCAAATTCAAGGCGTATTCTAAGTTTTTTAATTCGAAAACCCAAGAATATCTGTACATGGAGAATACAGGCGGAATACGGGAGCATACGAGAAACACTAAAGAAGACCAAAGTCATGTCTAAATTAAAGCTATATAATGGAAAATCCCTCGCGACGACGCGAATACAGTAGGAATACAGGCAGAATACGGATGGAATACGTGGGAATACTGCTAAAGACTGAAGGGACCTTAGTCATAGAGGCGAGATTAGTATATCTGTGGAGTGTGCCCGTATTCCCACGTATACTACCTGCATTCTGCCTGTATTCCTAAAGTATTCCCTAACTCTCTTATCTAACCTTTACGGCTACTGTCTTCCTGCAGCATGTTAGCGCATTCCCACGTATTCAGCCAGTATTCACCAAGTATTCCCTGCTGTTCTAGTTAAAAACCTAAGAAGCCTAAGAAACCGAAGAATACATTGTCAACACGGACAGCATACGGGTAGAATACGTGGCAATACGGTAATACAGCACAGGAAGACATAGTTGGAAAAGCAAAATAATGGAGAACATAACGTGAATACAGACAAAATACGTGTGGAATACATAGGAATACGTGGAATACAGTGAACAAAAAAGGGGCCGATTTTATAGAGTGGTACGAAATGGGCCATAGGTGTAGGTATGTGCAACGTCCGCCTCTACCGATTTGCCGCGCTTATAATTCTTTCTCGTACTTTCTTCGATATCAGTCATAAGTAATCTGTTTGCATACGATTGCATCAGCACCTGTATGGCAGTCAAGCCGGCAAATCTTTCCGCCATTTGCAACGTGTTGTCTCTCGCTTAACCTGCATATAAACTGTACCGTCATGCCAGGTAAGCAGCTAATCTTATCCATCAGCTGTTTAGTTATAACGGCGCGATGACTTTATAAAGCGTGGTTGTGGCAGTCAGACAGTCCGCAAACTAAAAAACGTTTCATTCACGGATTTCTACCCAACCCATTCGTATTTAGTTAAGTTACGCGGCCTGCGCTACTTACGTTTTTAGCGTTATACCAAATTTTCATAAATTTCATCACGTGATGGACCGTTGGCGAGGTCGTACAGCACTGGTAACGGGAGCTTCGTCTGGCATCGGATTGGCGGCGGCGGAAACACTGGCACGCCAGGGAATGAATGTTATCGGATGCGCGCGGAACCTGGAAAAAATCGAGGTACAGAGTAATGCAAGAGGAAAATTAAAAGTGATGCACATACGAAACTGAATCGCGACCGCGCTGAACTGCGTCATTTTGGGAAAGGGCGGTAATGCCTCCAGTCATAATGTGTATCATACACTCGTACATTGTAGGCCCTAAATAAGTAACACTTTACCAAAAGGCGCCGGGACCGTGCGCGCTATCAAATGTGATATCTTCAAAGAGGAAGATATCAAGCGCATGTTCGCGGAGATCGAGAAGACCCACAAACACGTGGACGTTCTTGTGAATAATGCCGGCATGGCCAAACCCGATACGCTCTCAACCGGTAGTGCTGATCAGTGGCGCGAGATGATCGATGTACGTCAGTATGCAGTGTTTGATTGTGTACATTTACAGTATGTATACCAGCAGCTCCATTAATAAGTTTCAAAACTTTTCTCGTCAGGTCAACGTTATGGGGCTGTCTATCTGCGCGCGTGAAGCCTTGCGACTAATGGCTAAGAACCAAATCTCCGATGGTCACATTATCAATATCAACAGGTAATCAGCATTCTGCTTAACCGACACTTAAAGGAACAACTTAAGCAGCGATGTTGTGTTATTGAGTACAGTATGGCGGGTCATTCGATCCCGCCGATGGCTAGCACCCACTTCTATTCAGCCACCAAACATATGGTCATCGCGCTGACGGAGGCGCTGTACCGCGAAGTGAAGGATATCTCCAAAAAGATCCGCGTAACGGTCAGTTGTACGCTGCGAAATAATAACTGAATGCGGGATACAATAATTCTTACTGGTTTCTGTACAGAGCATCAGTCCAGGTGCCGTACAGACCGACTTCAGTAACCGATGGGTTGGTGAGGAGAATGTAAAGCAGATGCAAGGCGCCTTTGGTGGCATGAAGGAGCTCGAAGCGCAGGACATCGCTAACGCTATCGCTTATGTCGTTAATCCACCGCTGCATGTGTGTATTAAGGAACTCATTATCGCGCCCACGGAGCAGTTTGCGTTTTAAATTCGATGATTTTAACTTTAAATCTAGCTGTTTGGTTCATTAATAGTTCTGTATTGCTAGAGTGCTATTCCGTACTTTTTCTGGGTTTGTGTAGATACGAGAAAAGCTGACACAACGAATAACACCAGTCAGCGACTCAAATAAAAATTTTACGAAGTGCTTTTATAATAATCATTTACGAATAGGAGTACGAAGTATAGAACTTTCGACAAATGATATCCCAAAATCCAAACACTAAGCCCCACACTAAGCCCAAAATCCAATCCAACAGCGCAAATGAATTACATAAAAACGACGAATTCGATATAAAACAACGGTGAAAGAGAAGAAAGACAATGATCAAACATAAAATAACATAAGTCCGGACGGAGGAATAACATAAGTCCGGACGCTTTCAGATTTTTGTGTGTTTCAGGTAGGTGTGTAACCCTGTATTATTTAAATTTTAAACTATGAAGTGACATGAACTATGGAAGCATGCACAGTACTGTTATTAATTCATTATTAAATCAGCACAAAATTGGTAATTCTAAATTCACAATGAATAAATGAAGGTACACTTTACTTTTTATTGACAAGCCGGTGCTGCTATTTTTTCCGCTACGTGGTACGCTAAGATGGACGCACGTTAGACGTGCTGTAATACCGCGTTGGTCCTCTGGGAGATCTGCCAACGCTGCGCCTTCGCAGGTGCATGTTGCCAAATTGAACGTCCTCCTGATTTATAATAATATGGCAGCCAGTCAACCACCATGGATGTTGCTTCGCACGTCACCAACTACAGGAGTTCAGCTGTCCGCTAATACGGAAACTAAGTACTCAGTACTCAAACGCTACGTAGCACGTTAAGATGCACGCAAGTTAGGCGTAATTGTGATTTGAGTACTGATGTAACATCAGGATATAGCATAGATGAAGGGTTTCAGTTGAAATTGTTGTGCTGGTACTTGTCTCATGATACCAAGTCTTTTTGTTAAAGAACTTATACATGCTGTACAAAAACCTCCGCTTTTCAAATAATACCTTTTTTGCATTTTGCGTTTGGTGGATCAAAGACTTGGGATTCCTTCATGATAGCGATCGCACAGTACTCGTATGGTTATTAATTAAGAATTGGAAAGTTGGATAGTACTTTCTGTATTCTCTTACAGTCTTTAATTATTCCTTAATAGTTTTTATTATTGGCCAAATTGTCCCAACTCCTAGAGTCTTTCTTGCATCTGGCATCCGTTTCCTGCATGGTGGTGGCAGAAAACATTCGACTGGAAAAGAAGGTCTAACATTAGGAAGCTTCTTCCCGACGGTTATTTTGGCTTCATATGAGATCAGTGACCCCTCAATGTGCAAGCGTACGTATTTTTGCGTAGCCTACAACACTGCCACGTTTTTTAATAAAAAAACGTTTTGCACTAATTATTGAATAATGCAGTGCAGTTGACCCCAGTTCCGCCCTTGGCGAACGCTGCGAATATAGGGAAACGAGGCTGGTATATGTGTGAGTGCCAGTATTATTTCTCTGTACTAATGCATCATTAATGTGATAGCGGCCATGACAGACTCCGTGAATGTGGATTTCATAAAATCAATGCAAAGTCTGTGCAAATGCCGGGGACTTGATGAGACGACGGCTTTGGTGATAGCTAAAACTCCATCGGCAGCATACGCAAATATCTATTAGTATAGTAAATCTTTGATCGCAATTGGTGCCTTAGGGGGCGGCCTTACGTAAATGTTTGTTATCATCTATAAGTGTAGCTAAATCCTTGATCGCAATTGGTGCCTTAGGTGGGCGGCCTTCCGTGAATATTTATTATGGCTTCAATAAATCGGCGCCGTCGATGCCTGGCGACATTAGGATAGCGAATACTGTATGCGACACAAAGTTATAGCACACCTGTAATTCTTCCTATCGTATTTACACAACAGACCTGAACTTGATCGTTATACCGTTACGCTTTAGCCGTATAAAAGAATTGTTATTTACCGAAAATTTATTCATAGCACCACCCCGTGCTTTTGTACTTACAATTAATTGCACTGCACTACTTCAGTGCTTATGTACATAAGTACACATACCGTACAACGAGGCTCATGTTAAGGTTTAGGTTATAATTTGTATGATCATTGCAGTGGTTTTAATTTTTCTGATTGCAACTTTTTACATCAAATAATTATTAGTGTTGACTGCTTGCATTAAATTTTGGGGATCAGCATTACGCTCTTGATATTATCGGAGTATAGTACTTATTTACGGCCGCGGTAGATACTGTTGTACCTTGTTAAGCTCTTATTATGTACGTAAACTTTTACTGCATCGCATCAGTCTGGGTCCAAATCCCAGTTTTAATATTCGCATGTGTTCGCTGCAGTTCGCAAGATTCGCCAAGTTCATGTAAAGGTTAAAGTGTATCCAGAATACCTTAACATTATTACAGCTTGGAACGTAAACGTAACTAATTTATATAGTATTTATGTGAATTACTAGCACGAGGCGTGTTACTGATGTGTTGCATAAGAGAGGGGTCCTTTGTTACGAACGTTTTGTTGCGAATAAGCCGAAACCTCATAAAAAATTGAATAAACTTAGTTTATATTTGTTTTGCATTTTTCTCGCGGTGGTCGGGATTTCCGTTAAGTACTCAGCCCGGGGGCTAAAAACCTTGTTATGCTGTTGTTACAAGGGCTGAAGGTGGTCAGCTGTTAAAACAAAGCTATGTAATACTCGACTCGCGTCCCAGACAGAACCCTTGGCATACATAATGCTAATAACAAGATTATATAAAACAGGAAAAGGGTATGTAGATCGACTTAAACCGCTTCCTTAGCCAACTGACCGAAAGTTGCCAATACAGGAATACCAGAACCGGTATACCAATGGTTAGGCTTATTTTTTATAACCTTAGCAGCAACCTTGGCGAACGCTGCGAATAAGAGAAAACAGAACCAGCATCCAAAGTGCTAGGATTATTTAACAAAACCTCAGCAGCAACTTTGGCAACACTGCAAATATGAAAAAATCTGAGCCGGCATACTAATAGTTAGGCTTATTAGCAAAGAACCTTAGCAAGAACCTTGGCGAACACTGCGAAGGCTGCGAATGTGGAAAAACCAGAACCGGCATAATCAAGCGAGCGAGCGAAGCGAGCGAGCGTTTTTAATCTGCCGTGCGACATGCGGAGAGCTGGGTCCCCGGGGTCCAGGGGCGAAGCCCCTGGCCAGGGTTTGGGGCGGAGCCCCAATAAGCAGGGGGTGCGGGGGGCGCAGCCCCCCGCTGAAACAATTGAGAAGGTAGTCAAAACATTGAAAAACTAACCGGGTTATTTTTGACGGACCTGCTGCAGTTAATGTATTCGGGTCCGTTTTTTAGAACCCGGTCCGGGAATTTTGCCCGCCCTGGGTGGAACGATTTTGAGGAACCGACATGCGGGGAACCACCGGGGCATTTTTCACGAACCCGCCATACAAACAGTATGGAGGGTCCGTTTTTTAGATCCCCGTCCGGGAATTTTGCCCGCCCGGTTGGTGCGTTTTTGGGGAACCGACATGCGGGGAACCACCGGGGCATTTTTCACGAACCCGCCATACAAATAGTATGGAGGGTCCGTTTTTTAAAACCCGGTCCGGGAATTTTGCCCGCCATGGGTGGATCGTTTTTGAAGAACCGACATGCGGGGAACCACCGGGGCATTTTTCACGAACCCGCCATGCAAACAGTATGGAAGGTCCGTTTTTTAGAACCCGGTCCGGGAATTTTGCCCGCCCTGGGTGGAACGTTTTTGAGGAACCGACATGCGGGGAACCACCGGGGCATTTTTCACGAACCCGCCATACAAACAGTATGGAAGGTCCGTTTTTTAGAACCCGGTCCGGGAATTTTGCCCGCCCTGGGTGGATCGTATTTGAAGAACCGACATGCGGGGAACCACCGGGGCATTTTTCATCAACCCGCCATGCAAACAGTATGGAAGGTCCGTTTTTTAGAACCCGGTCCGGGATATTTGCCCGCCCTGGGTGGAACGTTTTTGAGGAACCGACATGCGGGGAACCACCGGGGCATTTTTCACGAACCCGCCATACAAACAGTATAGAGGGTCCTTTTTTAGATGCCGGTCCGGGAATTTTGCCCGCCCGGTTGGTGCGTTTTTGGGGAACCGACATGCGGGGAACCACCGGGGCATTTTTCACGAACCCGCCATACAAATAGTATGGAGGGTCCGTTTTTTAGAACCTGGTCCGGGAATTTTGCCCGCCATGGGTGGATCGTTTTTGAAGAACCGACATGCGGGGAACCACCGGGGCATTTTTCACGAACCCGCCATACAAACAGTATGGAAGGTCCGTTTTTTAGAACCCGGTCCGGGAATTTTGCCCGCCCTGGGTGGATCGTTTTTGAAGAACCGACATGCGGGGAACCACCGGGGCATTTTTCATGAACCCGCCATGCAAACAGTATGGAAGGTCCGTTTTTTAGAACCCGGTCCGGGAATTTTGCCCGCCCTGGGTGGAACGTTTTTGAGGAACCGACATGCGGGGAACCACCGGGGCATTTTTCACGAACCCGCCATACAAACAGTATAGAGGGTCCCTTTTTCAGATGCCGGTCCGGGAATTTTGCCCGCCCGGTTGGTGCGTTTTTGGGGAACCGACATGCGGGGAACCACCGGGGCATTTTTCACGAACCCGCCATACAAATAGTATGGAGGGTCCGTTTTTTAGAACCGGGAATTTTCCCCGCCATGGGTGGATCGTTTTTGAAGAACCGACATGCGGGGAACCACCGGGGCATTTTTCACGAACCCGCCATGCAAACAGTATGGAAGGTCCGTTTTTTAGAACCTGGTCCGGGAATTTTGCCCGCCATGGGTGGATCGTTTCTGAGGAACCGACATGCGGGGAACCACCGGGGCATTTTTCACGAACCCGCCATACAAACAGTATGGAGGGTCCCTTTTTTAGATCCCGGTCCGGGAATTTTGCCCGCCCTGGGTGGATCGTTTTTGAGGAACCGACATGCGGGGAACCACCGGGGCATTTTTCACGAACCCGCCATACAAACAGTATGGAGGGTCCGTTTTTTAGAACCCGGTCCGGGAATTTTGCCCGCCCTG